GTTTCAACTAGAGAGGGGTAGTTATCCAATCCCCATTCCTTGGGATATTTGATTAAGATTTTTAGGTGTGACCCACATATTTAATGGTTTCTTAGGTATAAGTAAACGTAGTGTACGTGAGGAATGTAAATCATTCCCTTTCTTCACACTAGAGCGTGTGCCAATTGGTTCTTTTAAAATTTAAAATTTAATTTTAGAATTAAAAAAGGATAATGGATAGTTGTGTTCCATTAAAAATAGGGCACATTATCTTATTTTAAATTTTAAATTTTTTAAAATATGAAAAAAAATGTAAATGTATCATATTATCCTTATTTAATTAATAATTTCAATTATTAATATTTGCATTAACAAATGACATTTTCTGATATTTTAAATGTTTTACTATTTTATGCCTTTTGTTTTATATGTATATAAATTCCCATTACTTGTAAGTAAAATATTCTGTTAATGCCCAAATTGGGGGTCAACTTAAGTGGAAGAAGTATCAAGTCTTTGGCTAGACGAGAGGGTTGCAGATCTTCGGTAATGAGAAATCCTGCAAAAGAAATAGGGAAGAAGCAATCGTTAAGCTTTGGGTACCAGTGTGATACTTGGCGAAGGCTCTCCGATACTTAAGGCAGCGAGTGTGGGATGTGTGGTAAGTTTGGTAGAGTAACAGTAAATGTGAAAAGCAGTTACCCCTTTTTGTCTAAGTATTATTCCTCTTTTATAGGAAAGTGAAGTGAGAGTTTGCATAAAGTTTCGATGTAGGACTTTATGCAAATTTTTGTGGTGGTGACAGATGTCCGTGGTTCTAGGTTTTGTAGCTAAGAGCATTGGCAGCCGTCTTTGGTAGGTGACTATCACTTCGGAAGGAGGTGTTCCTTCGGCATGCGAGGAAGATGTAATCAGTATTTTAGGGATCACCCAAATATCTTTCCTTTAGCAATCAACGCGTGTGCCTATTACCTAATGCTGAATATACTTGATTGATTATGGTGTAAACACATCCTACTTTGATTTTTTCATCCGTAGGGCTCACTGCCTAAGCTCTAGAGTTTCAAGAATGATAAATACGTTTACATTTTACCTAAACTGTGAAGGACAGAACTTGGACCCCCACCCCGAATTCATTTTTTTATATCTATAAAGGTGGAGGGGGAGTTTTCGGGGGGTGGGCAGAGTGAAATGTACATACATGACTTCTGTCAAGATGAAAAGTCCTACTTTTGGCTGGTCAGGTGCAAAGCCTGCTGCATTAACGCCATTTATAAAGTTGCAATGAGATCTTTATGTGATTTCACTAATTTTGTCCTACCCTTGCAATCATTCGTACATAAATTACAATTTCTCAGCTGAGTGTGTCACATTAACTTGGCCCAGAGATACGATACACATTAGCTAGGGGTTTTCAGTTTGAATATGACTTGAAATTTGAGTTCTATTTATAGCAATTGAGCAGAGCTGAGAAGATGCCAACCTGAGACAACCTAAGAAAGGACGAAACCCAAAGTCCTAATACAATTAGCACAAGAGAATAAGACTCAAAAGTACATAAAAACCTAAGAACTCATTGTAACCTTATTATTTCAAAATTGAATATTGTATCGGCTGGTAGACCTAATTAACCCATTTTGGTGTGTGCATTCTTGAGTTAGGAATTTGGTGCAAAATTCTAACAGCGGATTAGGTCATTATTGAGAACTACTCAAGAGAATTCGAAAATCTTCAGTTGGACTTTCTTTCCTTCCTTCTTTCTTCAATTTCAGACATACATAATAGAATCGTACAGAATTTATTAAATTTTGTATTAACTTCCACAAGCAAATAATTTAGCTCGTGAGCTGTATTCTATTACTTTTGGGAAAATTGTATGCTTTTATGATCATTAACGAATCATTTAGAACAGTTAATTAAACATGCATTATAATGATCAATAAATCGAACGGTGATAATTAATTTATTATTATTAATGACATGTATATATCAAAGGACTTTGGGCAAAGGCATCTAACTTTCCGCGTGGGACCCATGAGATTGGTCGGCTGTCATCTCTGTCAAATTGACGTGTACCTTAGGTTTCCTCCCTCTCAAATCATGGCAAGTAGGAATTTAATTGTAATGTGCGCTGAAACGAGCACAACACATTAGGTTTAGTGCCAAAATTTGATCACATGCCTAACCTAATCTTTGTTTTCAATACAAATTCACAATAATTAAGCGAACGATCTGTGATTTTAATTTTTTTTTAGGGTTACAACTCATAAACTTGTTGTTTGTTTCCTTTAAGCAGCTTAGTTAAATACATTTTTGGCCATTAGATTTAACACGAAAAATTTCAATTTTGTCACTGAAAAGAAAATTTAGCCAAAAGCCATGCAAATGCTGTACTCTTTCAACTTTGTTATGACTTGTTTTTGTTGTTGTTGTGAAATTCATGTATTGACTTAATTATGAATTTGAATTTTCGTGAATGTGGGAGTACAATAATGGTTATGAGTGGAGCTTTTTATTTTTATTTTTAAAGAGATGGATTTGCCTTTTTTTGGAAACTATTGTTGAGATATGAACTTATTTTGCTATTGTTTTTATGTCGTATACCCTGACTATTTGAAGAGATTGTTAAACCTCATTAACATGAATAAGTTAAAGCTTAATTGATGCTACGCCTACCATAAAATTTTAGCTTTAGAACAGCTGGTGCAAGAGCATGGTATATATATGCATGACTTCTAGCTAACCTTTTTTTTTTTTTTTTTTTTTCCTCAATGACCAAATTGAAATTTCATGTTAAACCCAGTGATAAAAAATGTAATCAACCCAGCCACTTAATAGAAACTAACGATATGTCTACAAATTGTAAATTTTGGATAATATAATGACAAATTTGACTTTTTTTTTTCTCTCAGTAATCAAATTTAAATTTCACATAAAATTCAGTGACAAAAAAAAAAAAAGTTAACCCTATGTATAAAGAGAGGATATGTTTATGAGGGAGCTGGAAGCTTTTAGTTAAAGTTCTCAAAACTCCTAAAATGTCATTGGTTAACCAAAATGTTTGACAAAATAAATTTAATTTGAAAAGGGTTAAAAATAGTAGGAAAAAAGAAGAAGAATAAAAATGTAAAACTTAAATTTTAAAAATCAAAAATCAAAAATCAAAACAAAGTTAATTGCCACACGTGTGTGCCAAGGGCGTTCTTTACGGAGGAAAGAAAGAGAAGGAATGATTAATCACCACAGGGAAAACTAAGCACTGAACACTAAACTATTAAATTGTAAATTTAATGCTTAATCCAATCTTATACGGACACACACACTAGATGATGAACAGAAAATCTCATTAATTTCAAACTAAACTAAGAGAAAAGTTATGCGTCCCCTAGTACTAAGCTACCAATGTTATTGTTATTACTGTTGTTTGGGGAGGTGTGAGCATGTCCTAAACCAATCTCTAGCCACTACACGTGAGAAGTATTTTGCTCACCAACTTAACCAAAGGTGTGCTCACCACCATTCTTAAAGAGTGACATCTGTCATATTATTAACCTTAGTTAACTTTTATATGAGAATAAATAAATAAAACTTTGAAAAATGGCCCACAACAAACATCCCGATTTTCTCCCCTCTTTTTTCTTCTTTTCCCCCTTGTTCTTCTTTTCCTCCCCTCTTCCCCGCAACCCTCTAAGAGGAAAAAAGGGGGTGAGAGAATCGGGATGTGCGTTGTAGGTCCTTTTTCAAATTTATTTATTTATTATGACTTAAAAGTTAATGAAGGTTAACAATAGGACAAATGTCACTCTTTAATAGTAGTGTTGGTGAGCATACACTTTTGGTTAATGTGGTGAGTAAAAATGCTCCCTTACACATGCAGCTATTGTTTATGGAGCTATTAATAAAAGGGTACTATTAGCGAGAACAAATTTATTTACCAAATAATATGACAATGTTAGATTAATTTAATTTAGGTCGACTTAAAATTTTACTTATCACTAAAAAAAATAAGACATTGATAAATACACCAATACATCATTTTCGTGAGTATGTTTGGAGAATTATTTAGTGACTCAAACATTATTGTTAAAATAAAAGGAGAAAACAATGGCAAAAGAAGGAGGAAAAAAAGGGGAAAAATAACAGAATGAAAGAAACAACTTGTATGCATATGTATCCAGACAATTTATGAATTAAGACATGAGTACTTTCTAGAGTAGGCTTTTATTTTTCATTTAGGGTTCATTATATGCTTATTACTGTTTAATATTTGTTTGAAAACGACATCTTATCTGGCAACAGTGAGTATAGCAAATCTCATTCAAATCTATTCTTTCCACTGAATAAGTCAAATTTAAACAGTAAGATAATAAAATGAAAGACACAAACGAAGATTGTCTTTTTTCCCCCCTTAATATTTGAGAATTACACTTGGAGAAGTCTAGATGTCGTGTTTATTTTCCGGGTTGGCCCTAGCGAATTATATCATTTATAGTCTAAACTAGAATGACATTACGAGATCTGCGCATCTACAATCATACTCCCTACTTTTTAGTTAAACAACCCTATTATCTTTTCGGTGCTCATGATATACTAAAATATTGATCAGGTCCTTCACAGTGAAGTGGCAACCCTATTAGGCTAAGATTAAAACAACTTAGAGAAGAAAAAATAATTAATGTTTTTCGTGGATCTAATTTCAAAGTGCAATGAGCAGTGATTTTGTAAGTGATGACAAGATTCAAGGTAATATTTTGGTAATTAGGCTGAGTATAGTAATTAGTTATTAAATAATACGGCATAAGTTGACAAAAGACAACAATTTTTGTATGCTTATTGGGAGGAAAAATGGTAATAGAAAAGGAGAATAAAATTGGACAGATGAAGAAAAAGATGAACAGAAAGCAACTCATATGGCCCTGGCCCCATGGGAGGTCTTCTCACTGGGCCCATAATGTGATCTCCATCGTCCTTCTCTCTTTAATTTTTTTCTCCCTATTCCTTTCACCTCTCCCCCCCTTCATTATTTCTTGCTTTATTTAGCAAAAACAAAAAACTTCAAAAAAATCCATTACTTGATCATCCACCACCACCACCACCATGTCTGCCGAAAGAGGCAAAGATTTCGCCGATGGATCATCGTCTGCCGGGTCCCCAGGCGATGATCATCAGCAGCCAGCCACTCCGAGCCGGTATGAGTCCCAGAAGAGAAGGGACTGGAACACGTTTGGTCAGTACTTGAAGAACCAAAGGCCTCCAGTCCCACTTTCTCAGTGCAATTACAACCATGTGTTGGAGTTTCTTAGGTATCTGGATCAGTTTGGGAAGACCAAAGTTCATCTCCAGGGCTGCATGTTTTATGGGCAGCCTGAGCCTCCTGCTCCTTGCACATGCCCTCTAAGGCAAGCTTGGGGCAGCCTTGATGCCCTCATAGGGAGGCTGAGGGCTGCCTATGAAGAAAATGGAGGGTCCCCAGAAACCAACCCTTTTGCTAGTGGTGCAATCAGGGTTTATCTGAGGGAGGTGAGGGAGTGTCAAGCTAAGGCAAGAGGGATCCCTTACAAGAAGAAGAAGAAGAAGCCAAGTCCAAGCAAGGGAGGAAATGATGATGAATCTAGCTCTACCATGCACTTCTCTTGATCATCATGCTCAATTCCTTGGCCCAATTTCAGAACATCATATGGTAATTAATTACAATTTTAATTATAAACTTCACAATTAGTTGCTTGCTTATTGCTTTTCATGTTTGACCAAGTTCAAATTCTGTCTCATCTATTAATGTTCAAGTACTTTCACATCATAAATACCCCAACTAATTGAAGAACAAATGTATTTAATGCCTAAAATCTGCGATTGATTTGTGTCAGTATTTATATGTAATAAAACCCCAAAAAGACAGAAACAGGAAAGTTACACTTCATCAAGACAAGAGCAGTCAAAGTTCAGTAAAGATTAGTTTCAGACTTGTACTATATGACAACAAAATATCCTACTACATCTCTCTTTCTGTAATAATACCCAAATTAAGCCACCCAAGAAATTAAAACCCTAAATGGCAAAATTGATGTGTTCTAATCTTTACTCTTGGAAGTAATTACATCACAGAGCTTCTTGTAATAGCATGAGAAACACAATCTCTGCATCTCCCCTCTCTCTCTCTCTCTCTCTCTCTCTCTCTCTCTCTCTCTCTCTCTCTCAAACACACTCACTCACAGACACATTCACTCACAGACACACTCACTCACAATGTAAAACCCCACTGTGATTGTCGTACATCAATTAAAAATTGTTATCTGTTTCGTAGCTTTTCATTAATTCGGCTTTTTTAGGATTCTGCAGATTTTGTGCCCCCACGATTATTTCTTGTCAAGTGAGATATCATCTCAGGACATAATTCAAATAGACAAATGATTGACATACATATGATTAATTAAGGTTTAAGGTTTTCACAAATCTTCTTAATTCATATTTTATTAGTTTTTCATGTTTTTTCATCTTTTTATGTAGCTTTTTCTCTTGTGCTGTTATATATTTCCATTTTAAATTTAAAAAGGGCCATCATTGAGAATCTCTACAACGTAGAGCGCCCGTGATATGATTAGTGCCACCACTACTTGTTCTTCTTTAATTAGTACTGCAAGAGATCTATACAATGTCAGTTTAATAGGAATTATATATCTCCAATTCATGTTTTCCTACTACCTTCATCTTTGCCTTCTGTGTTTTCTAATCTCATTTATATATATAATATATATATCGTATGTATGGCGATGTACCAACGTTATTATCATACGGAAGCCATGTGTTTTCTACTATCCTTCCCCTGTTTTCCTCCATGTTTACAATAGCGTCCGTACAATAATAGCGTCCATCCGAATATATATATATATATATATATATATATTCACACAAATTTTGTAGTGAGCATACATTGTCTGAGCTTTGATTTAAAAAAAAATTAAAAATTAAAAAAAAAACTTAAGAAACCACTGCTATATGAGGCTGGTATTTGGCCTGTTTACCCTCTCGATTTATGAGCAGAATTTTGAGTGCTTATGCTGCTCAAAGTCTTATTATCTCACATGTCGTTGTCGGTTCTTCATGGGCAACTTGATTATTATTTTATGTATTAGGTTGATATTACCTTTTATAGATGATAGTACTATATGCACGTGTTTCTTCTTCACACATTGCCAACTTAATACAATATTTTTGCTTCCATATTTAGCACCATATATAATTATGATTATGCAAAGCATAGAATTAAGACACGGCTTATATATATATTTTTATGTGTATTAATAATCTGGCCTAATGGAGATGACAGAAAACGTGTTCAGTCTCCAAGACCAAGGTGTACTAGGGTTTGGTTGTGTTGCTCTCATATCACGACACGTTAGTAAAGAAACATTTACATTACGTACTGCCCACAAACATACCGTACGCATAGTTCAGATACCAAGAAAAAAACAATGTAAAAAAGATGCATCAATGATATAGATGCATGATGAGTCCTGGCATTGTTAGTTTAATTTACCTTTTCTGTATGAATCCATAAATTCGTCTCCCCCCATCTGACTTGATTGGTAATGTGTGGTTATTATATCTCTTGTTTCATTAACTCTGTCTAATTTAGTTGCACATATATATAGCTCTGAATACGTTCATGGACAAATTAATGCCCATCTCTTATATGGCATTTGAGATGGACACGATCGTTAGTTTCTTTTATAGCTTTTGCATGCCCCTCGCGTGCAGGGATATACACATACATATATGTATGCATCTAAAGTACATAAGCGCATAAAATATACACAAGACACACGATAACATTCTAGCAGGTAAGTAAATTGAGAACTTGAGCAGTTGGATCTCAACCATCAGATCGTATATAGATGGGTAATATGGGCACAGTGAGGAAATTCAGTGAGATGCATCTCAACCTTAATTTTACATATAGTCTAGCAGTTGATATACAAATCCTAAAACTGAGTCCTCAACTTTACGTCGTTGTTCGCCATGGGAATTCTAAACCTTGCACCATGGTATATAAGACACTAGCTTTCTTCACCCGCTACCAACTGGTTTTGTAAGGCTGGATAATCTACCTTTTTTACATGGTAGCGGCCGCTTGTAAGAGCTAATAGCTTATTATATTTTTTGAGGATCTTTCCTATTGAGAGGGGCGATATATAGCATACTAAACTCACACATACTACACCGATGTTATGGTTCATTCATGAGGGGAGCATTTTCTCCAAACCACTACACTAGTAAGTCCTTTGTAATAGCTTATTATATTTTACACGAGGAGTTAGAAACTTTGCATCACAAAATATAATAATTTGAGCTCTACGTACTCATTGATATCGCTTTTAGGTTGGATGTTCTACCTGTAATATACTCATTAGAATGCGTATCTGTATGTGTTTGTGTACAAGTCATATGCTTTCTTTCTAAATTATGTAATATGTTACTTTGTCAAATTGTATATACAAAATACAATATTTAGACATAGCACATGATAAATAATTCTTATATTGACAATCTAATAACGTGTTAGACTATTTGAAAATAGTATATATATAACTAACAGAATTTTTTCAAAATTATTGGTAAAATAGTTATCACATTGTCTTATTTGTTCTAAACATTGATGCATTCCTTCAGGTGCTAATGAAAAGAAAACAAAAAGATATCACATTGTCAGGACACTCAAATGCCACCCCAGGCACGTACCCTTGAAATAAAAGTTGATCATCAAACTAATAATTTACTTCCGTGCAGGATATATCATATGGAAATTTGAACGAAATGGAAGGAATTGTTCCAAGGAAAATTATCTTGAAGGTTTGAATGATTTCGAATGTTGCTTTATTCAGTCAAAATTATATAAGGAATTTGATCTCTAAATGTATCGATCGACCTCTTATGGCATGGTGGCATGAAGCCGGTCTTAATTCATTTTGTTTGTAGTGTGGTGGGAATTTTTAAGCATGTAGTGGATCAGAAACCCTTTATATATAAATATTGGTTTATGCTTGAATATATTGTATTCCCTAGCTACTTCTTGTGTCCATTATTGTCAACAATGTTGGACATAAAATCTATCAGTCTCAACAAAATATATTTAACAGAAAATTATATATATGTATACACAACGAATTTAATATGCAAAATTAGATTAACAGACAAATATGAAAAATAGAAAAGAATGAAATCGAATTCATTGACTTGTGTATGAGATAGAAGCTTGCAGATTCTTGCGATGTCCAATAAAATCAACTATTCCACTCCACTAGGCTCACTTTCCATTTAGAAAGTGTGTGAAGACCCACACTTACAAAGAGTAGAAACTTTCTCTACTCTTGAGTTATCTTGATCACGTTGAACTTATTTTTTCTCTGTATTAAGATTTCCAGTTGACAACTTCTGAGTTATCTTTTCATTTTATTGCTCTACCAACACTTGGTATGATTCCTAGTTGCTAGGCTAGTTTCCTTCAAGTTCATCAATTTTCCTTTTAACTCTTTCTTTAATGGACTGAATATCGAGAAATCTTCATTTCCAAGTTGTATTTTCATTTGCTTTTAGGTTTATAAATTGTTCATTTACCATTATATACTTGTTCAAACTCACACTGAATTAAAAAATAATATTGCCTATATCAGAAAAGCTGGCCTGATATGCATCGAAACTGTAACAAATCTCATTTTACTAGAGCATAAAATAGAATATTGAAGTTCTTAAGCATACAAGGCGTTAAAAAGAACTAATTCGAGCAAGTTCCCCACTTGGAGCACAATGGCTTGATTATAAGTTAAAATTTTGACCGCAAATCCTTACTTTTCAAATAACAAATCAACCAAACATATTTCTATTGGGCTAAGCCAAGCACCAATAGTGGCATGTCTATCTACCATACGACTAGGATCACTCTGAGGCCCATTACTTGGTCCGTAAGTAAACTCTCAGTTCAGTTTGGTTTAGTAAAGAGAAAATACAGTGCCAAGATGTAGTGCACTTGCATCACCCTTCCTCTTTTCCCTCTAGGGTGAACAACATTCCAACTAAAATTGCAAACTCAGAACAATAAAAAGAGATAAAGCTTGAAAAAACCAAGCCATAATAAAACAAATAAAACTCTCACAAAGGAGAAGTGAAAAACTCTCACAAAGGAGAGGTCAAAACTACACAAAAAATTCGAAGAGAGTCTATACGACTTATCCTAAAAATAAAGAAACTTGGATTGGAAATCTATTGTCATAAAAGCCAACCCACTGTATCCAAGCACCAAAAGATAACATATCTCCACCATTGACTTTCCTCTTGGGCAAAAAGAGCAGATACATGGAAAAAAGACAGCTGAGATCTGTTGTAGAATTACACCATAAATGAGCCAACGAAAAAAAGCAGGAGACTATGTGGGAGGGGAAAACAAAGAGGATGAGAAGAAAGGAGGTGGAGAAGAAAGAAAAAAGAGGGAAAAATGGGACAAAAAGTTTGGTAGTCACCACCCCAAAAGCAGTAGCGACTAGGAGTTTTCTCTCTTAGGGTTTCTCTTAGTACTTTGGACCTTGATTTTGTTCATTTTGGCCCATCAAACCGTTATAAGAATCAAATTATTGTTTAAGAACCTCATTATTGAAAAATAACTCTTTTTTTTTCTTTTTTTTTTTTGGTCGAATATTGAAAAATAACTCTATATGTTTGATTACCACACTTATTATTTCAATATATAGCTAGCTTGCTAGCTAGTTATTAAAAATAAAATCAGATTATCATTAATTATGTTTTTCGACATACTTCTTTCATGACAGGAAATATAATTTATTTTGTCTTCGGTTGTTCGAAATGAGAAAAAGAATCACACCTCTCATATTTGAGTACTAGCAAAGATGCAAAATGTTGTTCACAAGACGACGTGATAGTATTTGATTGAAACAAAATTTGGGGTTTTAAGATTTAATGGTCCCTGAACTTTGACCTCATTCGCATTTTGATCCCTCAATTTTCAAAATTGTTCCCGTAGTCCTTTAACTTCGCTTTCGTTAGGACAAATGGTTCTGCCGTCAAATTTGTTATATTTTTTGTTAAATTCAAGGACAAAATGGTATTTTTGTATTATTATTTTTTTGCTTTGGTGGAATAAATATCAATAAAATATTTAAATTCAATTAAAAACTATCAAATAAAAATCAAAACAAACAAAATTTCAATCCCTGTCTCCTTCCAGTCCAGCCCAGCATCTCTGCAACTCCAGCTCTCCCTGAATTCCCATCTCTGCAACTCCAGTTCATCCTATGGATTAATCAATTCCAACGATTTGTACTAAAAGAAATTATAAGAATGGGTTTTTAATTGGGAAACTTGGGATTTTGGGTTGAAATTGATTGAGTTGGAGGAGGGATTGTTCTTGGGTTGGGTGTGGTGGGGTGGTGCGAGAGGGGAGGATAGGTTGGGGTTGGCTCTAGGTAGGGCAATGGGGGGATTGTTAGATGGTGATCGATGATATCAAATTCCCACTTTCTATTCTAATCAACTCCTCGTTGCATAATCAAAGACTAGCTAATTAAATTATAGTTAAAAGCAAACAGACTAATTATCAAAGATGGGCTAACTGCAATCAAATTTAGACTATAACCTTACTGTTAAAAACGTAGGCAAACAAAAATACCTTATACTATAGATGCAATTTGCAACTCTAACAGTAAGCTGCGAGCCTCATCCAAGGTAGAGATTGCAGCAAAGAGTTAGAGAATCACCAATCCAATCCAGGCCTTATAGGAGCTTGCAGTGAAGCAAACGTAGGTTGAAGCTGAAGAGAGGGAAGAAGACACATAGTTGGTTTATGGTTGGGTTTGCGTCTGTCTCAGAAAGGCATGGGCATGTCATTGCAAGTAACTCTTGCCTGTCCTCCTCGAACTCCAATATTTCATGTAAAATTTATATTAAATTTGTAATTGTTGGGAAAGTATTGAAAAATCTATTGATCATGGATGATATCATGTTGGAACATGAGAAAGATTACGATTCTTCTGTAATCTTATTCTTCTCTATCTTGGAGGAATTTATAGGGGTAGACAAGACTTAATCTAGAAAAGATGTCAAATTCTTGATTATTAAAAAAGTAAGTAAATTTTTGGGCTTTTTTTTTCCTGTTTAAAGACAAAAATCTCATTCTCGCCTTTTGGTCTTATTTTCCCACCCACATTTTTTATATATATAAAAAGACGACATAATTTAATTCAATCAATATGAATAACAATACAAAAGACACAGATTGTAAAGAGAGCCATCCCAATAAGCATATGGCAGACATGGGTAAAACTTCCCCGGTAACATGAGTCAGCCAAAAAACTGAAATGATCTTGAGAGAATCACTCTTGAAGAATAACTTTTCTATAATCCCTCTTAACTGCCATAATTTCCCTCAATCAAGTCCAATGACATTAAGGACAAAAACTAGCCGCTAATCGGCATGACTCTCCTAAAAAGACTAAGAACACCTAGCAAACTTAACTAAGTGTATGGAATCATTAGAGAAAAAAAAACACAAAAAACTCATAGAGTTTCTCAACTTGATTGAACAAATTAAACCAAAATAATAATAAAAACTTAAACAACACTGGCAAATGGAAAACCAACCATTGCTAATCTTCCTTCAGGACATGATATATAGAGCGCCACCTAGTTACTCCATGGCCTTAATGCACCAATGAGTAGTGGGTCTACCATGACAAAGCACCAACACCTCAAAGAGCAGTCTCGAGAGATGAGGCACAACCAAAGCCAACCCAAATGTGAGACAATAGATCTGTTAAAGGAAGAGTAGATCGACATAAGTCCACCAAAAGCTGACGAACATCGAAGATTCGACGGAATCCTAAGGAAAACCCCCCGGATCTAAAGCTCTCTCTCTCTCTCTCTCTCTCCCTTCTCTCCCTCTCTCTTCTCTCTCTTAATAAATACTTTTAATAACCAATTTATCCTTTTATGAAATGACCTCGAACGACATAAGCTATAAGTTGAAATAAATAAATAAATAGAATTATAAATTTACCTAGCCATCCACCTCCTTACACTAAACCTTTTAAATTCATCTTCTCAGTTAAACACTCCACTCACCTCTAGGGCTCGGATTTTCACATGAAAAACCTACCGACCCAACCTGAAAATTTGGGTAGAAAAACCGGCCTTTGCAGTGTTGGTCGATTTTGGGTCGGTATTTAGCCCCGACTTGATGCAAAAGGTTGCCGGTTTATCAAACCGACCCGATATAATTATATATACATAATTCTTCTCCTCATTTTTGAGTTCGAGCGAGACGACTCAACGTCTCCATATCTCTCTCTCAGTTGACTCGACGACAACACCACTACCACACTACTTCCAAATTGTTGTCGTCAGCAACCCCAACCTCAATCTCTCTCTCAATCTCTCTCTCTCTCTCTCAGTGATTGATTTGAGTGCGAGAAGAGCATATTTTCTCTCGCTCTCTCTAGCTTCATCCACCTACAAAAGACACAAGAAAGGTATTTTTGAGTTTGATTTTGAGTTGAGGTTTGGGAATTTCCAATTAAGGTTTTGATTTTTGGGTGTGGGTTGTAAATTGCGTTTGTGGTATCAAATCAAGCATTTGTATTGTGATTTTAGGCAGGTATTGAATCTGTTTAAATGGTTTTAGAAAATGTTTTGTGGTGTTTAGGTTCTTTTAAGTATTTGAAAATTTGTTTTCATGTTTTTGTCTATGTTTTAGGTTGTGTTAAGTTGTTTAGAAATTATTTTAGGTTGTTTAGAATTTGTTTTCATGTTTTGGCTCTATTTTAGATTGTTTTAACACCCTGACCCAATTTTAATTATCATTGTTTTAACACCCTGGCCCAATTTTAATTATCCATTTAAATTACTTAATTAAATTAATTGTGAAATTTACAATTTTGCCCTTAGTGGTAGGGTTATTTTGGTCACTTTTTAATCCGGTAAGATTTTGGGGAAATGAATTACACTGTTGCATACAGCGCATTGAGACAAGTTCGT